GTAAAATACTCATCCAAACTAGACTGTGCATTTAAAGTGATCAATCCACTTATTTGATTGGCACGATGTTACATGGAATTATTACAGCATTTCTCACACAATGCGAATTGCAACATACAGTTCAGCCACAGTTTATTTCTCTGGGTCTCCTGTACGATCAATTGATCGACTACGCACGTTTGTCTAATTCAGATAGCCTGAAAACACAAACTGTTGAATATATCGCTAATTCAGTGAGTCTGTTATAACTGACTTGTTTGGCAAATTGAATGTGTTGAGATAACGAATGCATTAAGTGCCTTGCAACTGTTTAAACGCTGTAGATGTGGCGCGACCTTCCATTTTTATCAATAAAGTAAAAATAATGCCCTAATAGAACATCTAACCTAATATTACAGATTATATTTAATAAGATATGTCTTATTTATTATCATTTTTTTGTGTCAAAATGTTTAGTGAAAATTTTTCTCTTTATTTACAGAACGATTTGATAAGAAAATATTTGAAATAATTTCTTTGCGCATTTCTCTACAGAAGATAATCTAAAAAAATTCGCTTCTATATTGGAAAAAAAATTATTGCGAGGAATGATCCGATTTTTCATCCGATTTTTATAATGATATTTTTCTAAATATTTGTAACACAGATAATTGACTCGATGCCGTCATATTGTACGCGTAAGATTTTCTTCGTCATTGGCACTCGTCCCATCTTTATGTCGCTTTTACCAACGAACTTTTGCGGATATATTTATAGCACTTATTAAAAGACCGCCACTGTCTACACCGTGTACATTATTATTAACGGTCTATTATTATACTCAATGTACCACACGTGTGCAACTTTTGTCACGCGAAATTGACTTAACGCGTTATTACGTTTATCTCGTCAACAATCAGGATTGTTGGACACATCTCGTTTGCGATGATCAAAAGTAATTTTCTTAACTATTTTACAGCGCACGGGATATATTGCTACACTTCAAACAAAATAAGGAGTTATATGTAGTACCTTATAGTTCCATACGGCATTCACGATCAGTTCAACTTCTCTTATGGTATGTATAAAAAGCAATAATTTATCAAAATATTTTAAAGTAGTATAATGGTTTAAATTTCAATATAAATTGCCTTTTAAAACATATAAAATAAATGTCAAGCTTTAATTTACTTGAAGATATAACTTACTTGAATAACTTGTGTATATTTCTGTTTATTAGCAATTTAGAATATTTGAAAGAAAATTTATTATTAATAATAATTAATTTCATAATTAATTATTATTAATAATAATAATTAATAATTATAATTAATTTCATTATTTTATGATTCGTATTCATCAATTATAATTATATTTCTCAAAATATTTCTCAAAATGTTTTAAAAGTTATTATTTTTTTATTTATTTGATAAAGTATTTTCTATACATTTAATTTTAATGTATCATAAAAAAATTTTGAAAAATTAAATTCGAGAAATAAATTTGAAGTTAAATCGATTTCACAGAAATAGTTCGTTTCTTTTTTTATGGAATTTTCACAATTTTATATCAATATAATCAAAGTATTTTAAAAAGAAAATTGCTTTAAAGTTTTCTTCAATAATTTAGAAATTAAAGTACTAAATATTTATAATGATTTGATAAACTTGGAAGCTTATTTAAATGCATCAAGATGTTTAATATAGAAAATCGAAGACTAGACTTTTGAAAATAAAATATTAATAGCGAATTAATCGAAGGAAGCCATAATAGTCATAATAAAGCGCAATAATTCTAGGGCACTTTATTCTTATGCATTAATTTTGGAATATATTGTAGTGTATAATCGGAAATTCTATTTTATTATATTTTAATCGGCGGCCATGAAGCATTAATATCAATCCGATCCTTATAGTAGTGAAACGTCCCTGAACATTACGTCAAACAAATTAATGGCTCGCAATTGAGCTGTGTTCACATCAAATCTCTAATTAGCATCAACATTGCCGTGGATGCAGAAGTTGCACTCATCTTGCCAATTATTGCGAAGGCATTATGGCGACTCGATCATCGTATTACCTAACGCTCGATGAAAGACTCGCGTTTCTGCAGCCTGTCACTTTCTGGCTATTCCGATTTGTATAATCAATATATCAATCCGCGCCCATCTTTATCATGTTTCGAGTGCAATGATGATGTTATATTTAGGTCGCTAATTTTCCGTTTTCCTGTCCATTTAAACATCATATACAAAGTTCTGAATTTATAGAGTGCTTTTGAATATTGATAACTTTTGTGATTTTTGTTTCCGCAAAATGCTACTTTTAAAATGTTCGACTTTAAACTTGTTGACATCATGACATTTTCCATTTTCGAGTGAAATTCTCATCCGATATTTTCGAGGAATTTTATTTTATTGGCGCAAAAAAAAATGTATGAGTTATAAAACCCTTTGAAAGCATTATTTTGGAATTAATCGAAAAACATATAAGTTAAATATTTAAATATTTTAATTTTTCAATTTTTTATTGTTATTTATATGTGCATAAATGTGTAAGTTGAAATTAAATGTTTTTGGAAATAGTACTTCGATTACAAAATTAGAGAAAAATGTTTACATTCAAATATTTTAATTCAAATATTTTATATTTTATATTTTAATATTTCATATTTTCATTTTAATTTTATTTATTTTTTATTATTAACTTGTATATACAATGCATGTATCATAATTATAATTAATTATATTTTTTCAACTACAGGAGCAGTATAATTGTATCTGGTGGGATCTTTGCGTGGGTATTTCATGCGAAATTGCATAGAAGTTCTTAAATAGACTGTAAATATTTCCAAGACGACATAAACGAACAAAAATTTCAATTGAAAAATATTTGTAGACCGAATTTGTTAGAAAAAATATACAAAGTCTTAATGTAATAAGAACAATAAAATACATTTTTGTAATAGTAACAAAAAGTAAAATACTTTATTAGGATGACAATTATATAGTGATTTTTTTTTATCCTTAACTTGCAATAAGGACTTATAAAAAGATTGGCTTTGGTGGAGGAGCCTATTAAGATTGACGGCTCTGAGAACAGCCATGTAAAAAAATCATTTGCGACGTGAATAAGGAAGCTGTTGGTCATTCTGTTGAATTAAAAGAGCGGAACGCAAGGCAATATGAATTTAATGCAGAAACGACAAACATTTTACGCTTCGCCTCGAACGCCTGTCGCCATTCTATTTAAATTTAAGATTCAGCTCGGGAGTGGAATTTTCGCAAGAGTTGTTGTTATTATTAAGACTCGTGGCGAGAGCTCGAGAATTCTAAGTCGAATAGAATTTAAAGCTCGTTTTCGAGTCGAGCAGGAAATGCTCTCCACATTCGCTTGCGAAAGAGACGCTCTCCCTCTTCTTTTCTGGAAAAATCCAATTATTCCCGTTGCGATCGTGAGCTGTCGATTGCCGCACATATCCATCCGTCATATTTTTTTCCCTCAATCATTTCGTCATTGCCCAGCCATCCGGAATAATCTTTTCATGTGTTCTTTGTGATGCTTTTCTCAGCAGGGGATCAATCTGCAAAAGAAAACGTATGTGAATCTATATTTCAGTGTTTGGCGTATGTTTTGAAAAACTAAGATTATTTGTGCTGTAATATTACAAAATGCATTTATTTTTAGGGAAACAGTAATTTTTTTTTTTTTATTATATAACGTATTAAAAATATTATATTTTTCTTATTACGCGTTTTCTGTTATAAAATAATACAGAATTGTATTTGAATACATTTCTACCAAAGTGTCTGTCTAATTGTAAGTATAAAAAAATAATAAACTTGTAGAGAGCCGCCAATCACGCCAATCACCGGGCAATGCATCTTCCGATCGAAGTAATCCGCACTTTGTCGCGCTTCTGAGGAAGCATCACGGCGCGTTCCATCGATATCTCCGCAAAAGTTTTCTCTGGCCGCTACCCAAGGCCAAAGCACTCGAAATAATGCGGCAGTAATTCGTGTGGGCGTGCGGCCGGACAGTCAGCTTGGTCGCACTGGTATCCGATGGCAGGTGGACTCACAAGAGGGGTGGTCCCTCCTCTTGCTCTCGTATCGCGTAGACGAGGTAAAGGTCGCTCGCGTGGGCTCGGACCCAGGGCTACGGAATTGGGTTAATCAAACTGCGAAAATCGGGACGTCTCCAAATTAATTGATACACGCGATGCAATCACGCGCTATTCGATCTTGAAGAGAGACGAAACACGGCTGCACATGAAATCATCGAACATTTCTAAAGAGTCCGATGAAAAGTTTAACTTTTTTATTTTCTAAAATAAACCATCGACTGCAGAGTTTGTTTAATATGTTTTTAAAAATGCATCAAATTATGATATTTTAAAAATATACACTTTAAATCATAAATACAAACGTTTTAAAAATTTGTTAATAAATTTGCAGTCGATATTCCTGTAACAAAAATTCGAGTCATGAATCCCGTCCTTTTTATAACTCTTTCGTTTAATAATGTAACTGAAATAAATTTAACTATTAATCCTTGAATTATGAATATGTATGTGAGACGGTGAGTAAAATCTTATATAATAGAATAGTATGTAATTCGTTATAACTAATTGTTAGAGTACTTCCTATTGGTGTCTTCATTTTATCTATATGTTATTTTGTAATTTAAGGTTCAAAAGCGTCGAGAAAGCGTCCACATTGAGATATCAATCTCGTGCAGCTTCACATACGCAAATGCAATCCTGGCGAATGATCAACGTGTACAAATACAGAAAATAACGTTGACGTAGGCGGGACGACATTTCTCAAACTTGTAAAAACGGTACTGGATCACGACTCACGTAAATGCGTTTGGCAGCCGCATGTGTACGCGTACACGCATGCCGGCGCTTGTCTACGAAGTTGAAGTCCATCAACAATCTTCTAAGACTTTTCAACAACATCAACATCTATTATGCGAACATAAGATTGCATGTCATTGCAAGATTATTATATCGCGTGCGATATATAAACTTTTTATCACCATTATAATTTTTCTTCATTTGATCGAGATTGTTTTTCACGAAATATTTTATGTTTCTTTCAAGATAGGGTATTATTAAAAAGAGAGGGTATTATTAAAGGGTATTATCATTAAGGATATTATTAAAAATCAATAATTACTTTAATATTAAATTATCAACTTACATTAATAATTAAATAGTTTTTAAATCTCGGTTGAACATTTTTTATTATAATGAATTTAATTGCTCTTATTGTGAATCGAGAAATTTTAAATTTAGTGTGCCCAATAATTAAAATTTCCAATATCAAATAATAAAAGGAAATTACAAAGAGTGCTGGAAAATTGATATCAAATTCGTCATGAACCACGTGTACGGAAAGACTCGGAATGAATCAACAATATATTCCTCATAAAACGATTTGTCTTAATGTATAACGTGCAAAACGACGACGAATCATCAATTCGAAGTGGGACAAAGCCACGGGTATTAATGGAATTTCCCCGAAAATTGGCTGCCGCTCGGCAATGTCGAGTCTATCAAAAGCAATGCGAGTCTATCCTCTTCGAATATCTTCCCGCCACCTCCTCCCCTTGTTCCTGGGAATATTACTCGCATCCTTTGTCTTCGTCTCTGGCTCCTCTTCTCCCTCTCTTTCTCTATCTGCCTTTCGTTCCCGTTTCTTCCGCAACAGGCTCGTTACCGCTCGCTCGCCGCCCGTAAAATCGTATCTCGTGACTGCCAGAAATATGCTCTGAAACCCACCTATCCGTTCGCCTTCACCTATCGGTCCGGTGCCGTTCCCAGGACGACGGAGGAATATCACCCAGCGACCGTAGAGACGATTGAAAATACTCCGTCGCGGACTTCTCTCGTTGGATTTCGAAATCCTCGATGCAGCATCACGTCGCCTCTGGCATGGCTTAGCACCTGTCGCATCGTTCGCCGCCGGCAGTGGAAATAACCGTTGTGCACAGACCGAAGAGTAGCTACGGCCTGAGTAGTACGAATAAACGTGGGCGCGCCAACGTATACTCATCGCTCGGTCTGACAGTTAAAGGGAAAAAGCTTGGCTTTTGAATCGTTTTTCTCGATCATCTTTTAAATCTTTAGATAATTTAAGATTCGCTTTGTCCTTTCAGGACAACCAGATATATGTCATTTTCACACATTTTCACATATGTACATTCATTAATATTAATATATATTTTAATATATAATTTTACATATGTACATTTTCATATAATTTTAAAGTATTTTTCGTAACATACAGTACATAAAATTATAAACAATTATAAACTTTTTATTCTAAATTTTGATATAGAATTATTCAAGTGAACTGTAGACATAAGAATTAAAAATATGAAAAGATATTAGAATATAGAATAGAAAGAGATAGAATATTTCTATTAAAAATAGAATTATAATATAATTAAAAATGTTGAAAGTGTTAAGAGAAAGAGCGTTTTTAATTATCAAAAACAAAGATAAGCGAAGCCGGCGCTTGTAATTCCTTTTATACCGGCCATTTATATTCATCGCTGTGTCCACGTATTTTCGAGAGAGAGATATTATATAATCCGTAGAGATCTATAGCGACGTCTGCTAGATTACTGTCTATCCCAATCCCGATGTGTTTAGAAAACTAACTGCGAGAATTCTCAGCGGTGTGCTGTCGAACGCGTAACGATGAAAAATCAAATAAAAAGAAATGAGATAAAAAGAAATGAATTAATTCCGGGGTTAGCCCCAGACATTTTGGGATTCTCATGGACAGTCTTGATAGTTTCTTGTTCAGAAGTTCTCTCTACGACTATTTCGGTCCATAAGCTGAATCGCGGAAATAGCCTAGCCTAGCCCCTGGCCTAGAGCGTAGGCTTGACCGGCCGTAATAACGGCTTCCTCAAGAAACTTTCGAGACGTCACGTTTTCATCACGTACACGTGGAGGACGTAATAGGAGATTATTTCTTCGTGTCCGAATGTAATTAGTACGATGAGTTTCTTAGTTGGTAACAATAGGTCTGTTTTTTTTTTTTAGCTCTTACACGATTCATCCACGTTGGAGAAAAAAAGAGAAGATGAACAAGAAGTTCAGCTAAAGAGACCTCTTGTTGTTAATTAAAAAACTCATCGCACTAATATTCGAATGCAAAGGAAAATAATTTCCTATTACGTTCTCCACGCTGGAGAACAAAAGGAGAAAATGAATGGTGCGGAAATTCAGTTAAAAAGAACAGGCTTCATATATGTAATCTTAAACGGATGTCCGTGATATATTTATCACATAGTCGACAATCGATAAGTTCCTGAAGATCACGTTGTTCACAAAAATAATCTCGAGCCTGCTACGCGAATTCGTAAATTTATAAATATTTCGCACATTCATCTTGTTCAACCATCGCTTTCCTCGTCGGATAGAAAGTACTCTATAATCATTCTTTCAGAGATGTTAGACTAAAGTATTCTATTTGCGATGCATGCAGCATAATATGTAGATAGCATGCAATCTGCAGAGAGAGAGAGAGAGAGAGAGAGAGAGAGAGAGAGAATGAGTTAGTTCATAGCAAAATAAAGAATTTAAGCTGCAAAAAAACCAACAATTTAAATCACTCATTTTCTCACAATCAGACGTTGTTTTTTGATTAAATAAATCGTTTTATCGAAAATCGCTTTAATAAGATTTTAATTTGATAAATGATATTTAATGTCAAAAATTACTAAGCAGAAAATCAATGGATTAAAGAAATTTTACATAAAATTTTCTCTAAAGAAAAATCAATTCGACATTTATCAAGGAATATAAATATTGCTGAAGAAGAAAATAAAACGCTATGGATTAGATATACAAAGAAGTCAAAGTTGATTCTCGGTGTATATTTTTATTATCTCCAGCGTGTGTTTAATCGACAGCAGCCCTTGCCCTCATGTATCTCGAAATATTTCTCCTACCATTGCGTAATAATATATCTTTCGCGTGCTCTTAAAGAAATGAGCCTACTTTGCCCTTTCTGAAGGCTTGAGATATCTTCTGTAAAAACCAATGAAGCACGACACATATATATATACCCTCCATAGATACCTATATTTATTATTATATAGTTACTATCCGATGATTAGCGTATCAAGAGGCGCAGTCACGTAAAAACACATCTTTCATCATACGAAAATACATTATTAATTAATTGTTTGGTCATAATTTTTAACAAGTGCATATTGAAAAATAAATAAAAATATTAATATATCAAAAGATATGCTCGTTTATAATGGATTTTCTACAAAATCTGAAAAATATCGAAAAATCTCATAAAATCATAAAATTTGCGAATTAATCTACGACCTCAAAGTGAAATCTATCTCGCATATTCAGACTTTGCTTTTCCGAATGATCTGCCTGTGACAGCACAATGATAACGTCACGACAATGACGTGACCTCGTGTTACTCACTATCAGAGGTCTCTCGGGAGACCGATAACTCGTTGGTATGGTCGCGCACACTCGTGAGCCCAGCGCCAAGTCCGGCCCCGAACATAGTCCTTGCGACTATTTTCGCGTTACGTGTTTCGACATGATAGATGAGACTTTTCTGCGTTTCATCGACGTCGCGTCGAGCCGCGCGGTACCTGCCAAAGATTCCCCGGCTTGACGGTGGAGAACGACGAGTAATTTAGGATTGCGGACGATACTTGTCGCGAATGCAGGCGTCAGGGATTTTTTCATGAAAAATTGTGCGCCTATCGATGAAATTCATTTTTGAAGTCCTTTAAAGTCTGATTAAAGAAATCAACTTTTTTCATCGTGCTTAAGTTATTCCGAGGATTATATACAGATTATGTATTGTGTCTTTTTTTACATTCGATATCTATCTACAGCATTTCGAAATTCCTAATATTTATTATACAGTCGCACATACATTATTTTAATATAAGTTTAAAAATTTAGGAAAAATTTCTTTTTCGGTAATAATATTTTTAAATAATTTTTTCTCCATTTTTGTTCTTGAATATATTTTTATTCAGGTTTTTTGTTTCAGAAATTGTAAATTTATTTTTAACGTGATTACAATTTTGATAGAACATTTCTAAATTTCGACAAAATTTTTTATGAATATATATGTATATATATTGAAAATTTATTTACTATTTATTGGAAATTACAATATTTTTATTATACTTATTTTATTAAGCGGCGTTTATAAATCGGTGTAAATATAATCTACTTTATTTTAGAATAAATGAATAAATTATAGAACTTTCTCTTAACAATTGAAAGAGCTGCAAGTTCACTCACTCATGACGTTATGCATTACACAGCAATCGCGACGTTCGTCGAGCCATGACGTTGTTTTTCTTCAAGTTGAACAGAAGCCTCAAAGTGCGGCAGAATTCCTGGGGATGTCAGCACACATATCTCAGTGTAGCCTTCGTTCACCTGCTATTTTTGTTTTATCTAAGCAATTCTTAATGACACATTTGAGCATAAGTATATTAGATCCGTCTGGCAATTTCGAAAAAAATGATAACTTATCTTTTTTGATTTCTTAAATTTAATATATATGTAATATACATATTTATGAAACATTAGAACTTTTAACAAAGTGTTGTAGATATGTACCAGATGCAAAGCCTAGTTTTTGAAATATTTTTAAGGAATCGTAAGCTGTTTAATATGATTCCTTTCAAAAAGCTATTTCTCTTTCAATAAATTTACAATATTTATCTCATTTTTTAGTTGAATAATTTGGAAAAGTTCATCTTTTATACTTTATATTGTTTTTTTTATATCATCAATAAATGACAAAAATATAATAAAGAATACTTTATTTTATTTTATTGAATTCTTATTATCAGAACTTATTATCAGAACAAGATTATATCTGTTATAACGGTTGGTGTGCAATTTTGTAGGCGCATAGACAAGATAAATATATATGCCATAGCTGTTATTTATATTACAACTTTTCTCTAGGGGCGATCATGTTATGTGTTCTTGGAGTAGTCTCTCATTAGTCTGACTGCTAACATTTATGAAGCATTTTCGCACTCATATATTTGCATACACAACATAACAGAGACATTAAGTGTTCAATATATATTTAAAAACTTATATGTAATTTTATATTTATCTCGTCATAATTTTCCAAGTAGAAAACATATAATTACATGCACGAAAAGGAATTCTTAACAAATACTAATGTATTAGATTGACCTATATTATGCGTTCCAAAGAAAAATTACAATATACCCAAATAATAAACTTTTTCTTGCTCATTCTTTAACATTTTTCTTATTCGATATTATATCTTATATTATATCTTATAAGAAGACTTGCGCGTGTTATGTATTAAATTAATCGCTTTCTTCGATCGTATATTATATATAAAAGATTCTCTCTTCAGAAAATATGAAATTTATGCTTTCTCAAAATAAACGAACGTATCTTATGAGATAATTTGACTTTCTGATATCGATTTACTTAGAATATTTTACATAAACTTGTCTCAGTATGCAGGAAAATATGCCGAAGATATTACGCGAAGGCGGGGATGCGTCTCGATTCACGCAGACCGCGAAAATGTGGTGACATAAACAAACGCGTGCGTCTCTTATTTTTAACTACTCTCCTCTCCACTGTCTATAAAGATTAAATTAAAACAACCTAAGTGACGTGCATTTCCTAACCGGTGCCCCGTTCGTTAAAGGGACACGTCCATTTCTGACAGTTATGTTGTGTTTTAGACGAGGACAATCACGCAAATTGATAAAGTAGAAGTAATACAGAGCCGATCGCAGATATCGATTCCAAATCATATAAATCATATAATCAATCATATAAATCATATAAATCAATCAAATTTTGATGTAACGCCGATTACATCACTCGCATCAAGTAACATCGAAATTGCATTTGACCGTCGCTGGCCACGTGCGTTGACACTATAATGACAAGGTGGGGACCAAATGGCTGTTCTTTGAGTGGGGAACGTGTTGAAAACCGCGATCACGTTCGCATGGAACATGCATGGGACATGCATCTGCTATCGACATCGTTAACGGCTTTCGACGATTTTGACTGATGCTGGCTCGTAAATTCTTCGAAAAGTTCGATCTCATTTGAGATTCAGATTTTATTTTTTTAATTTAGATTTTGTTTCCTTGTTAATCACGCAAGAATGAATGATTTCAGTAGAAAAAGAA